TATAAGTGGTATCAAGGTATGAAGGTTTGATTCTAGTGCAATTGTTCAAGGATGGGTTTAGACCGTTCAATTAAAGATTGTTAGTGTAGAAAAGTCTTTAACATGGTAAAAATTCACATGAGTGAAGTTGAGAGATATACACAAAATTCTACTTCCTTAAGAAACAAGGTGCTAAAGTACAACATATACGTAGAGATTCATGAACTTAATAGATATATTTTTTTTAATTCAATATAATATCTCCTCATATATATATTCGTGCTTTTTCACAGGTATGCATAAAGGTTTAATTTTATGTCAACATGCTTTTAATTTTTTTCAATTTTTTTTCAATGAAATGAACCATGTTGGGGTTTGTATATATTGTGAATGATATAATCTTCTAGTATTCCACATGAAACAGCGGATTTTGCTTTTATCTCTAGAAAATAAGCTCTTTGTTTTATCCCAAGTTACCATAACAAAATTCAATGAATACCTTAACCTTTCTTCTAAAGGAAAGACAGCTTTTAATTTTTGGGAAAATAACCTTAAAAGAAGAAAAAAAAAAACACACTAGGAAAAATGGAAATCCAAAATGAAATTAAAAAAATAAAAAATAAATAGGGGAGAAGTAGCCCTCTTCCTAATTTGTGTGCCTTCTGCATTTTGCAATTTACATTTCTGACCATATTACAGAAGCGAAGGAATATTATGCCTGTGCGGGTCCCAACTCCCAACCTTTAAACCCCAACTTCTCAATCCGTTAGCAAAATCCTTCTTTTCCCTCCAAAGCCTCAACCTTTCTCCGGTGGTCGGAACCAAATCGGTTACCATTGTTCCGGAGAAACAAGACTCATCAACCTAAATACAAGATCAGAAGATTAAACCCACCAAGAAATCATCTTCTTTTTCTACTTCATCTCATTTTCTTCCCTATAAACCCTCTGTTTCTCTCAAGAACCCTCCCTCTGTAGTCTGTACCCACCAAATTACCCATCAGAATCGTTGTACTTCTTGTGCTGCGATGAAGCTTTCTTGTTTTCCCGTCTGGTTCCTTGTCTTTTTCCTCTTCCACTTCACTTTTCCTTCACATTCCGTCCCTTTGTTGCCGGGAACCAACGTCACTCTCTACGGTGATGCTTACATCCGGGGCTCCTCCATCAGCCTCACTCACGAATTCTCATGCCCGTCTTCTCCTTCTTCTTCTTCCTCTAGCATGGGGAGAGCTCTTTATGTATACCCAGTTCGGTTTCTTGATCCCAAAGCCAATACCACCGCGTCTTTCACTTGCCGCTTCTCTTTCTCCATAATTCCTAACCCCATGTGTTCTTCCGGGGATGGAATCGCGTTCTTGATTACTTCTAGTGCCGATTCTTTCAGCCTCCATAATGGGTACATGGGTCTTCCGGAACCCAACTTCAAGACGCAAGAATCTTTCATTGCGGTTGAGTTCGATACCAATTACGATCCTTCCCTTGGGGACATTAATGGGAATCACATTGGGGTGGATGTGAACACGGTTTTATCTTTTGCCTCTGTTGATGTTGTCTCCAAGGGAATTGATCTGAAAAGTGGGAGGCAGATTACGGTTTGGATTGAGTACAAAGATGCGGTGAAATTGGTAAAGGTGTGGGTTGGGTATACATTGGTGAAGCCGCGGGATCCTGTTCTTGTCGTCCAGATTGATCTTTCCAAGGAATTCTATGAGTATATGCATGTGGGTTTCTCGGCTTCCAGTGGGCAAGGTTCAGCTATGCATATCATCGAAAACTGGAGGTTCAGAACTTGGTCTTACCCTGCTGTGAATCCTGTAGATACAGTTGAAGAAGGATACTGTTTCTTGTGTTCTCCTGAGGATTCATCTAACAAAACCAGCCCAGTTGATCATCCTCGGAAAAAAGGACCCAGGGTGCATAAAATGGCTCTTGGTTTAGGAGGCCTTGCTATATTAATTGTCTCAGTTGTATCAATTGTTGGTATTATCAGTGTCTGTGTGATAAGGAAGAAAAGGGTCATAATTAGAAAAAGAAAAGAAAGGGAAGCTTGTAGAGTACAGACTAGTAGAGTTCCAACAAGGTTGTCTCTCACAGAGATAAGAGCAGCCACAATGGGGTTTAGTCGAAACAAAATAGTTGGTGAAGGTGCTTCAGCCACTGTCTACAAGGGGTCTCTTCCCTCTGGTGTTGCAGTGGCAGTCAAGAGGTTTGATAGGACTAATCGAGCTGGGCTTAGTCGCAATCCATTCACTACAGAGTTTGCAACAATGGCAGGTTACTTAAGGCACAAGAACTTGGTTCAGCTTCAAGGTTGGTGCTGTGAGGGATCCGAGCTAGTTTTAGTCTATGAGTACCTTCCCAATGGAAGCCTTGACAAACTCCTCCACAATGACTCCACTTCTACAGTGTACCTCTCATGGGGGGTAAGAATGAATATAGTTCTCGGGGTCGCTTCTGCTCTTACATATCTACATGAAGAATGTGAGAGACAGATAATTCATAGAGATGTCAAGAGCTGTAACATAATGCTGGACGATGAGTTCAATGCCAAGCTTGGTGATTTTGGTCTTGCAGAAGTTTATGACCATCGTTCTGTTTCTAGAGAGGCTACTATACCAGCAGGGACAATGGGATATCTTGCTCCTGAGTACGTATATTGTGGTGTTCCAACTGAGAAAACTGATGTTTACAGTTTTGGTGTGGTTGTGCTTGAGGTAGCTACAGGGAGGAGGCCTGTCGATGATGATGGAACCGTGCTTGTTGATTGGGTTTGGGACCTATGGGTAAGTGGGAAACTGATTGAGGCTGCTGATTGCATGTTGGCAGGGAGATACAATGTTTCGGAGATGGAGAGGATGCTCATGGTAGGACTTTCTTGTGTGCACCCAAACCATGAGAAGAGACCAACCGTGAAGCAAGCTGTGAGGATTATCAAAGGCGAGGCACCACTTCCCCTTTTGCCGGTCAGAAAACCAACAGTGAGCATCCGGTCTGTTATGAATGCAGATTCTGAAGAAATGCTGAACTCTGGTGATCAAAGTCCTGGTTGTGATGAAGTGTCGTGGTTGACACCTAAGAGCCATTTTAGCTAGAACTGTGAATGTAATGAAACATACTGTGATTAGCATAAGCACTTCTGAAGCTTTAACTTTCTGTCAAAATGCTTGCAGTTTTTGAGACTCTGGTCTTGTGAAGTTGTGGTCATGATGTATTCTAAGACATGATTGACATGATTTTCTATTGTTCCACACGATCTCCATGTAATAACAGAGAGGATTCTTCTTTCATTTCTCCAGTTCGGAAGCGTTTTCTTTTGTAACCTTCTGGTATCATACATACAAGTTTTGACATATATCCCTCTTTTCAGGTCTCCAGAAATTAGGCTGTTTAAGTTTTTAGTTGACTTTACTGCCACCGTGAAACTGGGAAACCCCTTTAAAAGAGTATCTCCAACTGCATATGTAGAAGGATTTTTTCATATTTCTCCAATATGAGATGTGTCTATGTTGTCATTTCTGGTCCACTTTAGATTTACAATGAGGACCAATGGACGGTACCAGCAAAGGAACGTAGCTTTTAATATATTAAGCTTGAAATCAAGTGAGCAGTAGATGAACAGAAAACTTTGACAAAAGTGTATTTTTCCTATATTTTACCTGATATCCTATGATTTCTACAACTGGAAACATAAATAGAAGAATGCCTTACAAAATGCCATTTGCCAATGTCTTGCCACAAAACCGTTTTATTTTGGATAGGCATTTCAACGCAAAATCCCTTGTGCTCCCTTCTTGATCTTCTATCTCAACTTCTAATAAGGCAGCTTCTCTCTTCAATAACTGAATGTCATTTTTTATATTCATCAAGGCAGCTCTGTCCATATTGGAAGTTGTTTTTGTTGACATGGATGGTTCATTCCCCTTGGCCAAAGCTCTTTTAATTTTCCTGAGAAGTTCAAGCAGATCCACAGTCCTTGTAAGTTGATCATGCCAATCTCGGAGCCAATTCACATTCAGTTGTGCACACTCGGCATCCCCTATAGCGTAATCCAGTGACTTCAGGTGCTCACTCAGAAGATTTTCAGAAGTGAAGGACATGAGTTTCTTAAGTTCCATACCAAGTCCCTGTAACAAAAGTGATCTCACCTGAACAGATAGTGGGCAATCTTGGGCAATGTCAGGATGCGTATCCATTATGGATTGAACAATTGGTGCTACATCCATATTCACGATATATGGCCCCACATAACAGACAGAATTATCTGCAGAATCTGTTTCATTTGGGTTCACAATTTCATCCCCCGTAGCAGTTGTGCCATTCATACCTTTTCCAGTGCTTTGATTCCCAAACTGATGCAACCTATCAGTTCTCCTGCATTCCTGACTTCCATTAACCATAGAGTCTTGAGGTTGCAGGACATCTGTTGGCTCTTGGAGAAATAGTGGGGTAGCTAAGGCTGAGGAAGGGGCACATTCAAGTCCAACTGCTCGATAATCCTTGCTGGCATGCACCTGCTTCTCTGCAGAATCATTTTCATATGGGTTCACAAGTTTATCCCCAGCAGCAGACATGATATTCATGAATGTCTCAGTGCTTTGATTTTGAAAATGAAAAATGCTATCAGTTCTGCCATCTCCTTGACTACCCTGACACATAATTTCTCGAGGCTGGAGATGACCTGATGGCTCTTGGAGATCTGATGTTTGACAATCCTCATCAGCATGCACCAGTTCCTCTGGCAATATCTGGTGCTGCAAGCAGTGGGTAGCATGCATAGATTGTTTTTCAACCATAGTGGCTTCTATGGCATTTTCCCGCATTTCTGACCCATCAGACTGTTGAAGGATACCCAGCATAGCTTGTTCAGGTAGAATTGTTGATGGTGCCACAGAGATCTGTTGATAGGAAATTTTCCTCCTCTTTGACATACTGGAAGGAGTCTGCTTCTTCAGCTTTGATCTAGGTAAGGTGACTTGTACAATTTCTGAATTTTCAGCATCACATCCCTTGGCTGGGAGAGAATGTTGAAGAATGTGTGGTTCCGAAACTTCAGTTAAGCAATCCACACAAAACCAAACAACATCTTCCTCAAAGGTTACCTTATGCATGCAATAGCTGGAAAATACCAACTATAAGGATCAAACCAAGTAAAAAACAAGCAATGGTTTTGATTAATAGTTACTTCATGCACCTTATAAAGATGCCTTTTTCCCCCATGTGTAATGCATAAACTTCTTAAAAAGTGTTTCTAATAATAGTTTTTACTTTTAAGTGTTACTGCTGAAATACGTTCAGTCACATATCCAACTTTTGCAAAAATTTCATAGTGAAAATCTAATTTGTATATTACATACCAAAGAAATGAAGGAGTTATTTCACATCCGTTGACAAATCTAACACAATCATTCGCAGTTTGGCATTAATATCATCATAAACATATAAAGCCAACGTTGCAACTTACCAATGTACAGCATAAATTTGACACTTGTGACAATATACCAAAGCCTTGGAGATGCCTCTGTCTCCACATATCAGACAAACAGTTCCCTGGAACAACAAAAACATTCTATTGACACACATCCAAATGAGTCCCATTTTACAACTTCATTCTTCATTCCCAAACTCACAGCAGTTCTTCATGACCCCTCTACATATTCTACATAAGAATAAGAAAACTTGTGGGCAAGTTTTATACTTTCTAATGTTGCCTGAGAAGACCACCACACAAACTTAATGGTACTCCCTAAGACCCTAACTACACAATCAACAAAAAAGAAGAGATTTTCTGCAATTTTCACTTAATAAAACCACATCTCAGAGAAGCATACCAGCACCCACATTCTTAGCAAAAAGAAGGTGCCCAAGTCATCTTTTGCTAAAAAAGCCTCTGTATCTATCTAAGCTAAGAACCCACTATCCTCACCTACTCGTACCTTACATTGGCTATTAATTTAAGAAAAAAAAGAAGAAGAGATTTTTAGTTCAGACAAAGAAAAACAAAGATTATAGGGTGAAATCAACAACGAATTCAATTAAGAAGAAACAGAACAAGAAAGGAAAGGAAGCAAAAACTCACCATAGTGGGGAGATACGAAAAAGGGCCTTTCAGCTTTGTTGGGTAAGGGAAGAACATGCAACAATCTGTAAAATTTAGGGCCAAAAGCATTAAAAGCCAACTCTAGTGCTTAAACAAAAGAATGGAAATGGAAAAAAAAATATATATATATTTATATTTATATATATGCTCATTGTTGTAAAAGGAAAAAAACTTGCCAGCTGTGTTTTCTGGTTTTCTGGTTTTCTGTGGGACAAAAATGGAGGAGTGGGAAAGTTTTCACCTTTCAGAGACGTTGAGGACTGTGCAGTGAGGGATGAGGGTCTATGACTTGGAACTTGAAGGCTGGTGGAACTGTGAACCAATGGGAGAGAAGAGAGTGGCATGCAAAAGGCGCGTGAGCACAGGATTATTTGGGTTTTACTTAACACTCCTATTTACTAGAGCAAAATACATAATAAGTCCCCAAACTTTCTGGTTTTTTCAATTGCACCCTTTATTTTTTAAATCAATTATCATTAATAATGGGATACATAAAATAAAAAAAATTAAAATGTCTTGATATTGTCATAATTATATAATAAATGAAATCTAATTGGAACTTATATTATATAATTATGATTGAATATCATAATATTTTTAATGTTATAATATCTTAATTTTTTTAATTGACAATCAAATCATTTAGAACAAATTAAATTTTAATTTTGTTTAAAAATTTCGTTTTATTTTTTAGATTCTATTTTCAAAAAAACAATGATGCTTCATGAAACTTGGATTTTGTTTTTTCTTTAATGAGCAAAAAGAAAAAATCTAAACTTAAACAACACCCAATAATTTGAAATGAAAAGTTTGCTACAATTAATTAATTCTAGTTAAAACACGTATTCTATTCAAAAAAATAAACATGGTTAAAGGTTTAATTGAATATTTGGTTAATGACTTAAATAATTTAATGATAATTTTTTTAATTAAAAATAAAAAATTTTAAATTTAAATCACATGACATACAAGTCAAATAAAATAAAAAATAAAAGAGAATTACCTCATAATATGTAATCAATTAAAAAAAAAAGTTTAAAACAAGTTAAAGGCTTGGAATTTCCCTATGCTTCATCTTCAATTGCAAACCCTCCTGTTCGTTTGTCGGATTGCGAAAGCCAACGTGAGTATCTGGGCGCGTGACAAACAGACAACAGAGAGTTTCCGTGCGTAATGTTCTTTAAAATGTCAAAAAGAATCATGCAGGACAGTCATTCTTTTGAGCAAATTCCCATTTTATTTCCAGAATTGCAGAACTCATCCTTCTCCCCCACCACATCACCAGCGAAACGCAGGCTTTTGCGACACTAACGTAATTCCGCTGGCGGCTCTTCTCTGTCTTCTCAATGGTATCGTTTTTCTCAAATCCTTGATGCTTTGTTACTAAATATACTTCATCAGCTCGTTGTTTTCGACATTTTGCTCAGTTTCTCTAATTGATCTTTAGTGAATTGATATGGAGAACTGAAGAAATGTTCAATCTAGCCTCTTTGTCTTTGTTATGAATTGACTTCTCACCCTATTCTTAAGTAGCTTTTTCTATGAAACAGAGTTGAAAGTGTTTATTATGCTCCTTGTTTTGTTAGATTCTCATTATTTTGAGTACAAAAATTGCATCTTGAGGCTTTTGTTGCTTAATTTGGGGCTATGTGAAACATGGGTTTAGGTTAAGTTTTATTTTATTCATAGGTTCTTCAGATGGACCTAAGCATTGCATCCATATGGACTGAAAGTATAATATTAATATCAGACTTTAGTAAATTTGGTTTATTTTATTCATGGGTTTTTTAGATGGTCCTAAGCATTGCATCTATATGGATTGAAAGTGTAATATTAATCTCAAAAAGTAGATTGGGATAAAATGAAAAGTTGGGTACAATGAAGAATTGAGCTCGAGTGGAACCACTGATTGGCTGCTAGAATTTTTTTGAATCTGCAGTTGCTGAGCTGATTTGTGGTCAATTGATTAATTACTTCCCATTCTATCATCTCCTTTTGTTTATGGTATCTTCGTGCTGACTTGGTTTTTATACTGGCTTTATTGCTTAGTTTTTTGGTTGCGTTAAGATTTTCAGGAGTTAGTTTTGGTGGTTTGGTGTGTTTATGAGTGTGGGGTTGAAATTTTATATATTAATCAAGTTATGGCATTCAGAATTTGGAATTATTGGATTCTTGCTGCAACTGCTTTCCCTTTCTTTTTGCTTAATGATGAGTGCACTCTAGATAGCAATTGGATATATTAATATATGGTTTTACACTGGTAGTATCAGGAGCTGGAAATTTACATTTTTGTTCACTAATATGGAAAGTGTTTAAGAGTTTGATATTATATTGAATTGTGTCTGCAATAATACAATTGGCAAACAATGTTGTAACCAATATGTAAGAATCCTTTTTTCGCTGAATTGTAGTCAACAGTTTGTCAAAAGTGTGGTGACCGTGGCTTTATTGATGCTCTGACTTACTGCATTGTATGCCGGGTTTGTGCTGAACATCGGTGAGTTGAGTTGCTTTGTTTTTATGCATCTATCATGTAGGGCACCCTGTTTTATTATATATCATTTATTTATCTAATTTTCTGTTAGACTTGTCTGTTTCAATTTTCAAGAAGAAAAGTTGGTGATAAGTTAATTCATTTTCATTTCCTTGAACCTAAAGCAAAAAGGGGTACTTTAGATAGAGAACTTATACATTAAAAGTCAAAAATGAGGAATGGCATTCCCATGTCAATTTTTCTTTTGAATAAAAGCAATTTGCTGCCTTGAATTTGTACTGCTATTAATTTGTTATTTTCAAAATAGCTTGTTTATATGTTAGTTGACTTTTGGTTCCTTTGGCTTTTACAGTTACTGCTTTGATATATTACCAAAGGTACTGAATAAAGATGTCATCTGGGTGTGCGAAGATTGTAGTTCCAGTGTTTGTGAAAGTTCTAGTCCTATCAGTTCTAGCCATACCCCAGAAGTGAATGATGAAAAACTATGCATCAAGACTCAAACTGTTCAATCTAAGCCTAAAAGATTACTCAAAAGGACTCAATCTTTGCAAGCTGAAAATGTGTGCAGAACATTTGAGCTTCTGAAATCTGTTCCTCAGGATGATGAGAAAGGTTTGCCACTCAAGGAACCTCAGCCTAACTCTCAAGTCCATGCACAACCAATTCTTGATCCTATTTGGAGGTAGGAGCTTCAAATTCTATTTTTAAGGTTTATATCTTTCCTTATTGCCCTTTCTTCTTTCATCTGATTGTATGATTTTTTGATCTCTGCACCTAAAACTATTTGAGCTCTCTATCTTGTTTTAATAGGGGAAGTATGATTATCCAAAACAGAAATTGGACTTTGAATGGACTAACGGCTCATTTGTCAAACCTAGCGTGCTCAAAAGTTAGCGATGTGACAAGCTCATTGCCTAACTTGCTTACCTTGGAAATACTTCCTAGGCTTGTTGTATGGCCTAAAAGGTTTGGCAGTATGGCATCACAAGATGGTGATATTGCCCTTTACTTCTTTCCAGAAAATGAGAGGTTTCTCCAGTGATTTTTTTTTTTTAATAATTAATATATATACATGCAATCTACCTATGTCACTCTTTTGGTTGCATTAAATGCTCCATCATTCCATTTTGCAGTGATGAAAAAGCTTTTGATAACCTGGTAGATGACATGATGTTGAAAGACCTTGCAGTGAAAACTTCAATTGGCAATGCTGATCTCTTGATCTTCACTTCTCTTCAGCTACCTTTGCAACACTGGAGTAAGCTCAAGCATCATCATCCGTTTATTAGTGTCCATAAACTTACTACTTACTGCAATCCTCTTGTGCGTGAAGCTAAGTGAAGTCATGCATTACCTGATCTGCAGGATTTCAAAGAAAGTATTATTTGTGGGGTTTGTTTAGCAGAGAGAAGTTCTCCAAGTCAACCTTAAAAGGATCTCCCTGCTCAAGATAGAGTATTTCACTTTCAAACTCCATAGAAAGGATATATGCCTCATTAAAATGCCATTTTCTTGAAGTCTTTAAAGCGTAAGCTGTATACTGCATATGACTAGATTATATATTTTGTTAGGTGGTCAAGCTGATATACTTCTTTTCTGAATTTTGATACCAGCTCCCACAGTGAATGCAGGAGTCAAAACCTTTACATGCTAGTTATAATACAAAATCTATAACAATGGAGATTCATAGTTTGATTCAGTTTGAACTATTTTAGCCCTTATGTTATATAAGAAGCATGACACAGTAGCAAATACTGCATGCATATGATGGACTGACTCATCAAGTCATGTATGGTACTTGTTAATGCAATGACATCTATTACAAATGAGATTGCCTGATGTCTGGTGGAGAAGAGAATGCTGGTGGTGGAATTCTGAAACATTTATTTATTATAGAACATTAGCAAAGTGTTGGGAGTTCAACTTGACAAACCAATGGTATGAACTGTATTTCATGTTGAGTTTACTTGTCCAACGTAAAGTAAGGAGAAGCTCCATTTTGTTATTTCGTCAAGGAGAAATACTCTTGTTACTGTTTGAAAATTTTAAAAGTCCTTGATATTTTTAAGGAATGGTTCTTAAAATAAGATGCCCAGATATTTCAAAATTATAATCTAGGAGTCTCTTTTTAATTATGGTTAAATGCTTAATTTGGTCCCTTAACTTTATGAAATGCACATTTTTGGTCCTCAACAATTTTTTGCACTTTTTTGACCCCTCAACTATACAAAATGCACTCCGTTAGTCCTTCT